CCGGGTATTTGTGGGGCACATTTGAGTATGATTGCAATTTTCGTATCGTCAGGTAATTGTTATTGTTGCAAAAATTGAGGTATTCCTTTTTGAAGATTAACCAGTATTCTAAGCCCTTTGTAGGATTGGAATGATAATCAAAGCTTTCCTGTTTTCTTTGGAACTCGAGACTGAGCAAATTTTTGGAAACAATTGACTTGATTCTTTGACTAATTCATAGCTTTGAGCAGGAGAATCCAAAAAAACAGCAGAAAATGGAGAACAGCTGTTTTTGATACTCTCACCAACCACATTGTCTAACGATCAGTTAAAAGTTGCTCGTAATCTTTAAATGGAAAAAAGAGCTTGAGTAGCAAATGGAATCATGTTTTCGTTTAGATCTCTGTAGAAATTGGAGAAATACCTTGGACCATTTTTTTGATGAGATGAGTTCTGCTGCTGCTGCTGCACAATTAAAGTCAACAACGAGCTGATCAGCCTGCCCAATTTTCTTCCTCTGTCTCAGGTCGTTTTTGGTCGTTCAGGGATTTGATTTTGTTCCTGAACTTCAGATTTAGAATAACAGTCGTGATTATTTTGATAGTCCTCAGTATCATTGTATTGAGTAGATGATTCGTTTTTTCCCTCACCATCAGTGTAATGATCTTCTTTTTCGGCAATGATGGTATCGTGATGAGATCCATCGTTCAGATATGAGTAAAAAAAATTGACGGCTCTCTGCCCTCAACAGAATTAAATGACTTTGCAGAGACATGTCTTGTCTCGATGTCCTCAAAGCAGTTGCTGGTAATAACCTGAGTGGTTGAATTTGCACAATTTACTTTTTTGTCGTAATCGATTCTTCCAAAATGAATTTTTATGGGATTAATAGAGCAATCATTATGCGTGTTTTTTCGTATTTTCAGAGCAAAAATTTTGTACTTGTAGGGCTTTCAACTAATGAATTTCACTCCTACTCGCATGTTTCACTCTTCTACTCGGTTTGTTCCTGCGTCCCTTACATTTACAAAAGATAACCCTGCTAGAAAGTTCAAATCATTTAAAAAATGCAGTGAATTCCCGGTGTCAGATTTGAGTTTTCTATTTCGAAGTTTAAAGTCAAATTCTCAGGTTTGGTCAGGCCTCGATTATTGGTTTCGCAAACCCTGGTTCGAGATCATTTGAACATGTTTTTGAATGCCTTGATCATTGTCTGGTAATTTAAAAACTCAAATTTTAAAAATAATCATCTTTGAAAATTATTGTTAAAGTTTAAAGTTCATTACTTTCGTTATATTATTTGACTGAGACAGAAGTAACACATATCAGGCTGTTTCCAATGCATTTTTAATGCGAGAAGGCCAAACCGTTGGTTACTATGTTTGAGTAATCAAGGTTTATGTCATTTGTGTTCGGCTACGAACACAACCAAAAAATTTTGAGAAATTAAAATGTAAAAAATCAATATTTTCGGTTTATGGAAAAATGCTAGACATACAATTTCAATATATGAAAAAAAACTAATCATAGACCTTTCATGCAATTTTCTGTAGGTATGGAATTGCATGAAAAGTGTATGACTAGCATTTTTCCATATATGGAAATTTTATGACTAGTATTTTTGGTCATCCCCGGTATTTGTGGGGCACATTTGAGTATGATTGCAGTTTTCGTATCGTCAGGTAATTGTTATTGTAACAAAAACTGAGGTATTCCTTCATGAAGATTAACCAGTATTCTAGGCCCTTTGTAGGATTGGAATGATAATCAAAGCTTTCCTGTTTTCTTTGGAACTCGAGACTGAGCAAATTTTTGGAAACAATTGACTTGATTCTTTGACTAATTCATAGCTTTGAGCAGGAGAATCCGAAAAAACAGCAGAAAATGGAGAACAGCTGTTTTTGATACTCTCACCAACCACATTGTCTAACGATCAGTTAAAAGTTGTTCGTAATCTTTAAATGGAAAAAAGAGCTTGAGTAGCAAATGGAATCATGTTTTCGTTTAGACCTCTGTAGAAATTGGAGAAATACCTTGGACCATTTTTTTGATGAGATGAGTTCTGCTGCTGCTGCTGCACAATTAAAGTCAACAACGAGCTGATCAGCCTGCCCAATTTTCTTCGTCTGTCTCAGGTCGTTTTTGGTCATTCAGGGATTTGATTTCGTCCTGAACTTAAGATTCAGAATAACAGTCGTGATTATTTTGATGGTCGTCAGTATCATTGTATTGAGTCGATGACTCGTTTTTGCCTTCACCATCAGTGTAATGATCTCCTTTTTCGGCAATGATGGTATCGTGATGAGATCCATCGTTCAGATATGAGAAAAAAAAACTGACGGCTCTCTGCCCTCAACAGAATTAAATGACTTTGCAGAGACATGTCTTGTCTCGATGTCCTCAAAGCAGTTGCTGGTAATAACTTGAGTGGTTGAATTTGCACAATTTACTTTTTCGTCGTATTCGATTCTTCCAAATTGAATTTTTATGGGATTAATAGAGCCATCTTTAAGCGTGCTTTTTTCGTATTTTCAGAGCAAAAGTTTTATACTTGTAGGGCTTTCAACCAGGGGCGGATCTAGGATTTTCTCGAGAGGGGGGCGGATTTTCAAAAAAAAATTCGAAAATTTTGTCGACCTTTTTTTTAGGTCAACCGAATTGATTTTTGAGCTCTCCCTAAGCATGGTTTAGTCCCTTTTTTGGCAACATTTTCTGCGCCGCAGGCAAAAAATTGAAAAAACAGTCCAAAAAAGGCGTTTTTAGGCACTTTTTGGAAAATTTTGACCAAAAAATTGCGTTTTTTCGGCGCGCGCTCCCCCCTCAAAAATAGAATATATTGGCGCCAAAGGCGCCTTTAGAAAAATTTTAGGGTCGGTGGGCCAAAAATGGATTTCTTTAAAAGTACCAAAGGGGGACCCTTTGGGTCGGCAGGGGGTCAAATCCCTGAGTAGGGGGGGGGGGATAAGACAAAAGCCCCCACCCCCCCCCCCCCTAAATCCGCCCCTGCTTTCAACTAATGAATTTCTCTCCTACTCGCATGTTTCACTCGTCTGCTCGGTTTGTTCCTGCGTCCCTTACATTTACAAAAGATTACCCTGATAGAAAATTCAAATCATTTGAAAAATGCAGTGAATTCCCGGTGTCAGATTTGAGTTTTCTATTTCGAAGTTTAAAGTCAAATTCTCAGATTTGGTCAGGCCTCGATTATTGGTTTCGCAAACCCTGGTTCGAAATCATTTGAATGTAATTTGAATGCTTTTCCATCTAGGTGAAAATGAAGATGTTTAGTTCTCTGGCCATGTGATTCTGGTATGTGGGAAATAGTGTTATTGACTCTTGAAGGTCCTTCGAACTTTAAACAGTCTTTTTCAGGTTCCCTTATGAAAGTTGAGAGTTCATGCTGCCATAAATGTGTTTTTCCAACACGGTAGCAGCCAAATGGTTCGCATAATTTGCGGTAGCAACCAAATGGTAACCATAATTGTCCGCTCAAATCTTGAGCGGTTTTTGAGCGGGATCTCGACCCGGGAGATGAAGCAGCTAGGTTTCGAAAACTTCCAAGAAGAAACCGGAATGTTTTATTTTTGTTTTAATTGAACATTAGTTTGAATTTTGTTGCGAAATTTGAACTTAACAATGGAGGGAACGACCAGTTTATAGAGCCCATGTCTATATTTTCAAATTTGCAAAACTCAGTAATCAAAGTTGATATCAAATGAGTTGAAAGTTTCTCGTCAAATTTTAAATTCTTTCAATCTTTTTAGCCAACATTTTAAGTATAACTTACAAAACTGCGGAAAAATACGCCACCATTTTTCTCGCCAGATAAATCCAATGCTTGAGTCCTGATCATTCTTGATCAGAGCGGCGTTCTTTTTTTGCTGATTTTCAAAAGATAGAAGGCGAATTGTTCTACAGCTAAGGGCAAATAGTTGGTATAAAATAACGATGCACTCAGCTAAAATGGTCTATATTTAGTGCATTTGTTATCAGTCAGTAAAAGTTGCTGAGTTCTCATTGCAAATAGAGAATTGGGCCTTCTTTCTCATCATCAATTTGGACCGTGTCATTCTTGATAGAGTCTTTCTTTTTAACGCTGTTTTGTGCGCTTTTTTGAGTGCATTTCTTTGACACTTAAATCAATCTGCTGAAGGGTCTTTTAAAATGGATATAGAAGGATTTTTACGATGTTCAGATCTTTTAAAGTACGATTGGGAATAGTTGCTGCAGGCGAAATTTTGAAAAAACATACCGTTTTTAGGCTTTTTTGGAAACTTTTGGCCAAAAAATCGTTTTTTTTGGCGCGGGCTCCTCCCGCAAAATTGGTCGCGCTCTCCCCCTTTTTTGGCGCGCTCTCCCCCTTTTTTGGCGCGCTCTCCCCCTTTTTTGGTGCGCGCTCCCCCCTCAAAGGCGCCTTTAGAAAAAATTTATGCAGGTCAGTCAGCCAAAAATTGATATCTCAAAATAGTACAAAGGGGGACTCTTTGGGTCGGCAGGGGGTCAAATCCCTGAGAGAGGGCGTCCGCTACCCCCCCCCCCCCCCCCAGCCCCCTTAAATCCGCTGGTGCTACTACTGATCGGAAAAACCATCCAAATTGATTTAAATTGATTTTTTAGACACTTAATTTGATCCAAAATTCTTTAAAAAAATCCATTCAAAATCCATTTTAGTTTGTAAAATGTACATTGTTTATAGATTTGGATCGATTTAAATCTATTTAAATTAATGCGAAACCATTTTCGTCAGTGCAGTCAGCACTGTAGCTTGCGTTCGTTGATTTACACAACTGTGCTTATTCTGCCTAATTTGCGTTCAATTTGTCCTTCACCTGAGATTTTGCTTGAGCTGTTTTCCGAATTTGTAGCATGTTGCTCGTTTTGCATAGTTTAGTTCTCATTTCGCTGAGACCTCCCAGCTCGATTAATTTCGAAAAATTGAGTGTTTTACATCTAAAAGTACTTTTCACTAAAATTAAATCAGATACTTGTGGGTTGAATGATATTGATTTTGTCTCGTTAAGGGTTGGGGATATGATGGAATAAAGCACATAACTCCCCTTTTTGTTTCTGTTCAAGCCCTGTATGGTGACAACGCGATCAATATCATCGACGATGCGAACATGGCTTCAGAAATGATACAGGCACTCGGGTTCGAGCAGAATTCGGCAACTGTCATCCATCTACATGACAGAGTAGGGCGCAGAATTATGTTCAAATTCGGAATTGTGAGTCCTTTTAAACTACAATCATTCCTTTTAATAATATTTTATGACGTAGCAAAAAGCTGGGAGGTTCGTAGTCTATAAGGATTTTTGATTTTTAAATTAGGCTACTCGTATGAGGGCGAATCCCTAAAAGTTCGGTAACGCGGTTGTCTCTGTCTGGGGATCGAGCCCCGGCTTGATTTTTTTTCAGAATGTTTGAAGTTTTAGAAAAAATCACAGAAAAAATTGGTTAATCGGACTTTTATTTGTCTGCTTATCTTTTACTGCTTAGTTGCCATATTGTAGGATTTTTTTTTGGTGTGGCCAGCAGTTTTTTTTCCTAGATGCAACTTTTTTTTAATGTATTTCTGTAATTTATAAAATAATTGCCCGACATTGTATGTTTTCTTTTGTTTTAACGCTGTTTTGTGCGCTTTGTTGAGTGAATTTCAAAATAATTCAAAAATTTTGCCGATTTTTTTAGGTCAACCAAGTTGACTTTCTGAACTCTCCCAAATGATTCTAAAGACCCTATTTCGACAAATGTTTCTGCGCCGCAAGCAAAATTTTGAAAAAGGCATTTTTAGGCACTTTTTGGAAAATTTTTACAAAAAATCTTTTTTTTTGGCGCACGCTCCCCCCTCAAAATTGGTATATTTTATGCCAAAAGATTTATGGGGGTCCGTCAGCCAAAAATAGATATCTCAAAATAGTACAAAGGGGGACTCTTTGGGTCGGCAGGGGATCAAATCCCTAAGAGAGGGCGTCCGCTCCCCCCAGCTTCCCCCCCTAAATCCGCTGGTGGCTTTACTGAGTCGGAAAATCCATCCAAATCGATTTAAATCAATTTTTTAGTCACTTTCAAAAAAATTTCGTGCAAAACAAAGTTTTAGAAATTAAAATTTTTTATGTCAAAAACTTGATATGCCATGTTTTTTGTTTTTAGCGCATTGAGCGGCTTAAAGTGGCATTTTTGGCTCAATGAACGCATTATTGGCTTTTTGGCTGCTCGTTAAAACTTAAAGACTTATTTAATGATGTTTGATGTGTTTCATGACTATTTTCTGATTTTTTTCTTCAATTTTTACTCTTTTTTTTTCAATTTTAGCATTTCCATCTTTTTCGCTAGTTTTCAGTGCTGGGCTTGCGTTGAATCACAAGTGATGCGAAACGCCGCTTCGCTTCTGTGTTCCAATTGGAATTATAAACGCGCATTATATTTCGTTCTGAAAAAGCATCAGTGGCAATATAATTAATCTAATTGAACCGAAGCAAGCAGTTTGCTCTTAATAAAAGTTTACCTTGCCCCAAATCTGTCACTTTTCACTTAACGTAGCTCGTGTTATGATGAAAATTTATAATTGAAGTTTTTCTCGGTTTTTGAAAATACTTTATCAGATTTTTTGAAACAAAAAGATCGTTATATACGATACAGAACGCTCGAACATTCGATATTTTGCGCTGATACACAAGCAGTCTCTTTAATCCTACTTTCGAAATAAAAATAGAAAATTTATGCCTGTGATGGTTATTTTTATTCAGTCAATTTTTACTTTTAACCTATATTTTAGATCAACAACCTAGATTTACAAGGTTTTTCAACATCTGGAAAATATTGATATCAGGAGCTCAAATATATGGATAATTTCACCAGTGGTTATTTTTCGTAACGTTATGGACATTTGAAAATTGCTAATTTGGCCGGTTTGCATTATTTAAAGCGCAATATTCTGCGTTCTTATAACACGCGTATAAGATGCGTTCTTTGAGCATTCAAAATAAAATTGAGGCAAACCATTTGGAGTTATCATTAGCTAAGAAGCTGACTACATCCCTTTGTTGTTAACATTAGCGTTTCATTTAAAGAAAAAAATGAAAATAAACGTTTTCCAAATTTTTCGTCAATTTTTTGACCGAAAAAAAAACATAATCACCATTAAAAGGCTGCCAAAACTTTCAGGGCGGAACATTTTTGTTATTTTCATTGAGAGAATTTTTATATAATTCTACTATTATTTTTAACTATATATACAAAGTGTGATATATCAAAAATAAACCTCCGTAAATGCAATTTAAAATACAAAGTGATACATGCAACGTACATGAACGGATATTAAGAATAACTAAACTGCTCGTATATCAGCGCGCCGTGCCCTGAATGTTCCAACTGCACTTTAAGGCCAACTAAATTTCTTTGTGGTGCAAATATGGCAAAAGAGTCAATTAATTTTTTTTCATCAATTTTTCCCACGAGAGCTATAATGAACTACAAAGGGTTGTATTTAGCGCATGTCTATAACAATACGAAATGATTTACTTCTTAATTCTTAAAAGGGTGTCGAAAATTGACTAAGAACCGACCCAAGCATAACTATTCCGTTTTCTTTGAAATTCGGAACAACTAGCCTGCCTCAATGCAATTAAGAACAATTAATGTGCCAAATCGCCGCTGAAGTATTTTTTAAAAAGCTGTATCGCGCGTTAATTATCACAACTTGCCAAGTTGGCAATTTTCAAACCTGGTTTACATTGAAAAAAAAACTACAGGTAAAGCATCTTTTTAAATTTGAGCTCACAACATCAATAGTTTTCAGATGATGTTTAAGAAATCCCGTCAAAAATTGCAAGTTATTAAGCCGGAAAAAACACCGCGAGCACAAATATTCCGTCATTATATCCGAAAGTTGGAACAATTAACGTATGAAATTTGTGAGTTAAATACTTTTTGTTCTAGTCGGGTTGGATGCCCGGCTTCGTCGCTGGAGGAAGTACTGCCTATCTCGAACACGTCCCATTTGAATCATCAGGACTCACAGACGTTGACCTTCAAAAAATGAGGGACAAGTTTAAAGATCATTTCCCGAGATCTATGAAGGCGTTCCGAGTAGACAGCTCTTTGAGTCTGGGCCGATACGGTGTCATTCCGTTCGCATATCATCCCGACAAGTACACTCTTCTCCCTCAAGTGAACAGTCTCAAAATCAGTGAAGGCAACATGGACACAGGTAATACTAAACAAAAATAAAAAGCTTGTAATTCTTAATCAGGAGCGCTCCAGCGGTTTCCCTGAAGAGCTGAACAGCTCGTATGTTGGTCCTTTCCCTTGTGAATTAATCGTCTAAAAAGAAAAGCAGGAAAAAGCTACTATTGGGTAAGTAGCACAGATCTCTCAGTACAAACTCACTCATATTTGCATAGATTTTTTAGTAGGAAAAATTCTGATTTTCTTGAGTTATATACTATCTAAACTCTTTTTTAAAACTGCTTTTTTGGGACCTCTTCAATTATTGTGATCAGTAAGTTACAAACGATGACATCATCTTATATAGACTACATGAGATACAGTTGGGTTTTCTCGAGGGGTGGATCTCGAAAAAAATCCCGACTGAACTGATTCTCTTAAAAACGTCTGAGCAAACTTCATTTTTTCGGAGCGCGCTTCAGCCTCAAAGTTATTATACATTGACGCCAAGATGTCTTCATAAAAATTAGAAAAATAAATCAGAAAAAGACAGAATTATAAGATCAACGCCTGCATTTAGCCCTCTATGCCCGTATGTTTAGATAATCAGAGCTCGATCGAGTTTGAAAAGGCTTTTGTTTATAAAAATGAAACAGTTTTCTTTTTTCAAACTTTCCCCGCTTACGCAAAATCTAGTAAAATAGATGTTGAATTTTGCGTCTATTAACGCAATTTTTGGACCCATCATCTTACCTCAAGTCAACCTGAGAAATATTAAAGTGACGCGAACGCTAGGCTTTATTGGAAACTGGAAAAAATTATCAATTATCCAAAATTGGCCAAACTAGCATAGCGGTGTCGAAACAATCATAGGTGAGACAAATTTTTCAATTTTGAGATCAGTGCATCAAAATTTTTCAGAGTGTGTGAGGTTATCTGTATCAAAAGATGAAGCTTTGAGTGTTCTGATTGCTCCTTGAAGTCGCTGAAAATTTTTTTTGATTTATAATTGATGAAACAAAATGTTACTTTTCCATTTTTTTTATTTTTACCCCCTTTTAGCGCATCTGTTGCTCTGGCTCTCCCAATCTTCAAAGAACACCTTCAACCCAGAGAAAGTTTGACAGATTTTTTATATACCATCAAGAAGATGTTTTTGTCTTTAGGTCAAATGTGTAGAAAAATATTTCACCTGTAATTAATTTTACCAAAATTATAAAGATTTGTTTTTGGGACCACTTTTACGGCTATAATTAAAATTTGGATGATAAATGCGCTATACATTTCGTTCTTTTAAAGAGTATGTGGAAAAATAATTTGAACTGAAGCAAGAAAGTTGGTTAGAAGCCCTCATAGGCGAAGGACCGAATGGGCAAAAACAACAATCAGCTAATCAGATTTCAGTGTTTCCAAATTTGGAGAAAAAAAAGCGTGAGAATCTCAAAGAAAGTAAGCATTTCTGTGGACTTAATATTAATATTGGTCGAATATGAAACGACAGAAAAACGCAAAACTTTCAAATTGTCATTGACCGCCGGCGTGTTGAAACAAATTTTATGTTTCAAGGGTTTCGTTATAAAGGAAGCAAAATACTGCTTCATTTAATTCTTTTTAATTGAACGGCAAATGAAAAGACTTCAATTTTTAAAAAGTCTTTCAATTTTTTTTTATTTCGCCCATGGGGTTTTCGCCTATTCGGTTTTTCGGCCATAAGAATAGCCGCCAGAAAATAATACGTTACTCGCGTGAAAAATATCATTTTATACTTAACGTAGCTTGTGGGGTGATAAAAAAGAAATAGAAGACTTGACACTTTTTCAAAATTCAATTTTTTTTGCAACAAGAAGCTTATGAAATACAATAAAAGACAGTCAGAACATTCAAGATTTTGCTGTTATATGCAACTAGTCGTGTTAATGCGACTTCCGAGGAAAGCGGAATAATTAGATTCTGCCGATTTTTTATTCAGTCAGTTTTTGACTTTATAACTGAGCTGAGCAATTTTGACGGACGTTTTTGCATCATCTGAAAAAATTTGTTATTCAAAGCTCAAAAAAAACCGCAACTGATAATTTTTTATAAAGTTACAGGAGTTAAAAATGGCTATGAATTGAAGAAAAACTCAAAACAATTTTTTTTCCATTTATTTTGTCAAAATTTTAAACAAAAAACATTTCAATTGGCCTTAAAGTGAAGTCAGATTATTCAAGTTTTCGCTCTGATTTACGTGAGTCTTGTTTTATTCAATTTAGAATTGTTTTACTTTCCGCTAAGGCCGAATTAGGCCGAAATATGACGCCTCAATTATCCCATATTGACCAGGTGATAACGTTAGAGAAAAAAAATCCATTTTTAAATTTCTTTTTAATTTTGATTTCAGTCAAAAGTTTTTCAATTTTGTATTTTTCGGATTTCGTCGTTTTCAAAAACTTGTCATAATTAGTTATATGAAAAGTCAAAACTTGTCTGCAGATAAATCATACCGAGCACAAATATTGGTATGACATGTATACAGAATGGTTCTCAACATACAGTATGCGTATGCGTATTGCTACTCATTCGTTGAAAACCTTTCAACGCAATCAGACCGGATATGAATATGATGTTGCAGTTTTTCACCTTCACCACCCAAAATTTCATTTTTCCTATTTTGTCGGAAGAGTTCTTTTTTTCCGACTTTTTAATTTTTTCTAAAGGTGTGCAAAAGGCAGTTTTGCTACATTTCTCGCAAAACTATGCATGCAATTCAAATTTTTTGGCTCTTTTTTTTTTCCTCCCACCTGCGAAATTTTACCAGTAGACCTATTGTTCGCATTGTCCGATTGCTACAAAAATTGGCATGGAGACTGATTAGGCCGTGAAAAACATATTCGGTCTTCATACATAACCTTGTAAAACCCCTCGTTACACCATACAATTGATGCTTCAGTGAGGATGAAGAAAAAAAGCTAAGTTTTTCTATTAAGTCATTTAAATGTTCAAAGTGATGTTCTTCTATTAAGTCACAGAGAAAGTTCGCTATGTTCAAAGAGAGATTAACAATCAATTTGTTACTAAAAAAAAGGTACAAAAATTATCCGGGAAAGTTTTAGATACGCTACTGCTGCCAGTAAAGTAAGTCTAAGCCAAAGCTAATGGCAAGAAAACTTTGAGCTAAAGTTTAGGCATAGTGATAAAATCTGGCCGAAAACTGAAACCGATTTCCTACGAACTTGATTGTCTATGACTATGTGACTTAAAATCTACTCCTATTCGAGTCTCAGACATCATTCTAAGACCTGAACGTTCGACCGAAAAGTTCAACCAAGACTGTTTGTTTCAGTGCGCTTGTTTCGAACGAACTTTAAACTCTATTGAAAAAATGGATAAAATTTACAAAAAAAACATTTAATTTCAAAGTTTTTTCAATTTGTGTTTGTAAATCATCCCCCTACATGCTATTTAATGTACGATTAAAAAATACATTTCGCATATATCAAGGCAAAAACTATTTGTACCTTTTTGGAACGATTTTTAAGATATAATAAATATTCGCTTACGCGTTATTACCACGAAATCGAGCGGTAATTATCGCTTGTTAATTATAACAATTTTGACAAAACCCCCATGAGTGCGCAAAAAAGATCACAAAAGAAATATCTTTTTAAGTTTGAGCTCAGGACAACAGTGTTTTCCAATTTTTTTTAAGATCCGTCAAAAATTGTTAGTTAAACAGTTGAAACTTGTTTGGAGAAAAAAAACCACCCAAGCACAATAAAGTCGGAACCTTGAGTGCCAAACTTATCAAAATGCTGAACGATTAATCAGGGCAATAACAACGGTTTCCAAATACTTATTTTATTTAATTTGGTCTTTTATCGTATTTTAGTATTTCCTTATTCGTCATGGGCGTATCTAGGATTTTCTCGAGGGGGGAGGGGCTGGCGGATTTCCAAAAAACTTTCGAAAAATTTGTCGACCTTTTTTTTGAGTCGACCAAATTAATTTTTCGAGCTCTCCCAAAGCACAAAAAAGTCCCTGTTTTGCCCATAATTTCTGCTCCAAATTTTTTGTTTTGGCCAAAGTTTTGAAAATTGGCGCGCGCTCCCCCATCAAAATTAGTATATATTGGCGCCAAAGGCGCCTTTAGAAAATTTTTAGGGTCCGTCACCAAAAATGGATATTTCAAAATAGTACAAAAGGGGGACTCTTTGGGTTGGCAGAGGGTCGAATCCCTGAGAAAACGAGCGTCCGAATTCTGTACCTTACAACTTATTTTCCCCTCCGCCTTTTGCAAAAAGAGGAGAGTGAAGTTAACAAGATCCTCGGTGTTTGCTTTTCTTCTGGGGTTATTCCTCTAATTATTTTTTGTTTTCAACCACAGTGGAGTCGATTGAGAGTCCAGTGAATGTATTCGATGGACAAGAAATTGTGGGTTCAGAGATGCTACAGTTCTTCAACAAACACGTCAATGCCTCCATCAGAGGATTTACCATCTACGACCACCTCAAGAAACGCCACTGTTTCGAGCCATCTCAGATTCTTTTTTTGGAACCAGACAAGCTCTACTCGCTTCAAGCATTTGTATTCAATTAGCTGGGTTGACAAAAAGTTCTACTCATACAATTCCCAGTTATGGCCTATACATTATATACATTCATCATATTGCATATGGCACACTCTTTGACTAGCTTTCTCCTGATTTGGTTTGCATTGGTTGCAACATAAATCCACGACCTCGAACCGGGTCCTATTATGAAACTG